TAAATACACATCTTTTATTAACAATCCCATTGTTCGAAAGAATACACCATCTATAAGCTTCGCAGCATACTAAGAATGCATTATCCTTACCTTGTTTCTTATAATGCATTTTCTTATCATGCAAATGCATTACATGTGTCCTGATAATTCATAATAACACGAACCCTTAGTTGACAAAAACTTAAAAAAATACATAAAATGCAGCTGGCCTAATTCCTTTCTATATAGGCCAAAAATTCAAGGTTTTAAAGCATTATAAAAATTCACAATAGCAAAAATACACCCTCAATTTTTTTCCTTGGTTACACTGAATAAGAATGCATTACCTTGGAAAAGGCAATACTCCTACATACAATATGCACCATACAGACTAACATATGCATAAAGAAAAACAAAAGATGTAAATATTAAAATATTTAATGGAGCAAAAAAAATACATGTACTAAACCAATAAAAAAACATGATTTAACTTATCTAATAATTACAAAGTAATAAAAAATCAATAGGAAAATATGCATTAGACATTTAAGAACAATTTGAAAAAAATTAAATAAAAAATCACAAAAAGGTGGGTAAATAAGTTAAATCATTTTGATGGAGATGAAATTTAACCTTACATAATGTAAAAATTAACACAAAATATATTTGTGTAAATCTTGTAATAAAGAGGGAAAGAAGCGATAAACTCAATTACTGCACATCATATGTATAGGATTGTTGCCGCTATCCCTCTCTGTTTCGATTTGGGATTCAGCCACTTGTTCAAGGCCAAGCTCCAACCTCCTTCATGCTCTACGATCTATCTAGGTCGTCGCTGCTCTGCCCTGTCAGACGATTTCTTATGTTGCTGAAAATAATTGAACTAATTCATCTCAGTAAAAACTAAATTTCCAATTTCATACGTATAAGGAAACCTAACTTTTCATTCCATATAAAAAACTGAAACTTGTGGAATAAAAGATGGAAGGTGAATAATGTTAATTAGAGAGAGATGCCGACACAAGGGAAATACCCAAAGTGACCTTCCGAACTTTGTTGAAAGAGACGCGGAAGTATTTGCAATCTTGTAAATCGGACGGTTTAAAACTATTCTCACTTCTTTCATTAGATCTTATTCTTATTTGAACCAAACTCTATATATATATATATATATATATATATATATATATATATATATATATATATATATAGATTGACTCGATGACACCTTACGGTAAGATGACATGCTTCGGTCAAATGACGCAAAGCTCACCAATGGACAAAACAAAGCTCACCTAGAAATAAAGCAAAGCTCACCACTTTGAACCCCAAAACTCACCTTTTTTTTAAATTTTAAAATTAAAAAATTAATTAAAAATAAAATAACAACACCGGTCAACGGCGGCCGGAATCCGGCGGCGGCGATTGCAACAAGGCGGCGGTGGGATTGGTGACGGCCGGAAATGGCTGCCGGCGACCGGCTAAAGCGGCGGCGGCAGGCGGCGGTCAATGCTGGCAGTCAACAGTCAAGTCCAGTCAGCAGCCCTTCCTTTGATTTTATTTTTTGAAAAAAAATTCAATTGTGGAAAAAATATGGTGATAAAAATTTAAAGTGTGGAAAAAATTCAAAGTGTGGAAAAAAAATATATATATTTGAACCACGGTCGTTATCCGAGCTGCTAGCCTGTCAAGAACCTGGCAAGAAATATCATTGTCCATCTCAGCTGAAAATAATGTCAGTAACAGAGATATTACTTCAACAAAGAGGGCGGAGAGACCAACTAACCTTTAGAAGGTTTTGTTTAACAAATATTGCACCATGTAGAGATTTCTTAATATATTCTTGTCGGAGATTGAGCCTAAGGTCATCTTTAGGAGTTACGTGTCAAGAGGTGATACATGAAAGTAGAAGGCTATATAAAATCTGAGATAAAATTACTCCGTATAATGTATTGTTATGTAGTCGATAACATTAAAAAAAATAGGAAGTTAAAAACTACGCAAGAGGATTCTAATGGGCCTTAGAATTAAATGCCTAAAAACTTAATGAATTAAAGACAAAAAATATTATTAGTAAAAGCCACTGCCTTATTCATTGTCCATACCTCGGATGGCGTTTGCTGGCTATGGATGGATCAAGCTTCCTAGTTCCATTTCTTCTTTCATCTGAAAAGTAATAAAAAACAAATTGAAGAATATCAAATCAATAATGAGTTGAGAAATAAATAAAGAACTGGACAATGGGCACTGGCATGGTAGTTAATGGCGAATGGCGAGTGGCGGGCGAGAGGTTCTTTTTTATGGTGAGAAGCGTGGCGAGCGGCGGGCGGTCAAATGGCGAACATTATATATATTTATATACATATATATACAAATACATATACAATTATACATATATATACATATATATATACACACACACACACACACATATATAGTTTAAGTCCAAACTTTTAGTCTTAACTTTGTATCAAACATAATTATCAAAGTAAAACATGAGTTATTGCAGAAAAACTATTATACAAAAAAATGAAAAAAATATATCTAAGTGTGAGTGTGACCCGTGAGCTGTAAAGAAACAATAACCATTCAAAAAAAAAGAAGTCTGAATGACCTGCGAAGTGTGGAGTCTTACTTTCGCCGGCTTTGACTCTGCCTCTGCGCTGTTTAGAATCGCGAGAGAGTTCACTGCAAGTGCGCTGTTTGGACTCGCGAGAGTGACGAGGCTCTGCGCAGAGTCGGCGAGGAGAATTTCGATCGACGGCTAGAGGGCATAGGCAGAGGAGAATTTCGATCGATGAAGTGTTTCGATCGAGTACTTAGCGCGTTTTTAAAAAAAAAGTCAAGAAAAACCCTTGACCTGCATTAAGCGTAGATAGCAAACGCCTTTCGCCACAGCGTTGGCGTCCATGGCGACCGCCTATGGCGAGATTGGCGTAAAACGCCTCGCCAGGTCTGAAGATGGCGTCGCCAGAAAGCCATAGGCGCCTTAGGCGAGAATGGCGAGCGCCATTCACAACTATGGGCACTGGGCAATGAATGTTTTAACATGCCTTTTGCAAGTAACACCTTTTGTTTTTCAAAACCCACAAACCCTTGTGCACTAGGCAATGGATGTTTTAACACTGTCATGGCTTCAACCACGCCCACTGGGATGTATTCCCTGCCAAATTACAGCTCATATCATTTAGCCACCAAAATCTTTTAAACCTTGAACAATCTTTTAATATTGCCCATGAGGTGTTTTTATTATGGTTCTGAGAAATCGCCATCTAGACTCTAAGGTTGTTCTTTCTATTGTTATTCCCTTACCAGCATACCAGTTGCCCCCCCTTGATAGCACTTGTCACACATTTGGCATTCTGAGCCACCATTTCTTGTGTTCTATCTTTTTTTGGTATTCCTATAGGGGCAGTTACATTTTTTGTGAGAAGTGCAGCTTGCGAACTAAATATAAAAGCTCCAATGTCCATCCAGTCTGCCAAGTTAAGGGATTCTTTTTTTAGAATAAAGCTATATATTAAGAGTGAAAAAGTAATTAAGAATAAATTTTAGGACGATTCACCAATTTGCTTGTCTGTAGAGCGGAACATGTAAGAATGACTACCATCTGTCATTTATTAGGCAATCCATCAGATCTTTTAAATAAACAATTACTTGGCAGGGAACATCTAAGAATGACTACCATCATCTGAGTAAATTTTCTCTCGTGTTTTTGCATTTTTCCTTTTGGCTGCCGGACAAATACCGAGTATATTATTTCATGATGCAACTTACTAAACCACACACAATAAAAATATGATAGTGACTTATACAATAGACTCTCAGGTTGTTATTTCTATTGTTATTCACTTATACAATACTCATATTCGTGTATCACCGGTTCCATCCCTAAATGTGGTTTAGCTACATCATACCTCATGAATCAGCATAAAAAGCAATAAAGATAGCATACCTCTAAGGTGGTGGGTGATTATCTGCAAACAACACTCCCCAAATAGTTTTGGTGTAGGATGATAGCCTTGAACCCATCCGAGCTGCTAGCCTGTCAAGAACCTGGCAAGAAATATCATTGTCCATCTCAGCTGAAAATAATGTCAGTAACAGATATATTACTTCAACAAAGAGGGCGGAGAGACCAACTAACCTTTAGGAGGTTTTGTTTAACAAATATTGCACCATGTGGAGATTTCTTAATATATTCTTGGCAGAGATTGAGCCTAAGATCATCTTTAGGAGTTACTTGTGAAGAGGTGATACATGAAAGAAGAAGGCTATATAAAATCTGAGATAAAATTACTTCGTATAATGTATTGTAATGTAGTCATTAACATTAAAGAAAATAGGAAGTTAGACACTACCCAAGAGGATTCTATTGGGCCTTAGAATTAAATGCCTAGAAACTTAATGAATTAAAGACAAAAAATATTATTAGTAAAAGCCACTACCTTATTCATTGTTGATACCTCGGATGGCATTTGCTGGCTATGGATGGATCCAGTTTCCTAGTTCCATTTCTTCTTTCATCTGAAAAGTAATAAAAAACGAATTGAAGAATATCAAATCAGTAGTGAGTTGAGAAATAAATAAAGAACTGGACAATGGGCACTGGGCAATGAATGTTTTAACACACCTTTTGTTTTCAAAACCCACAAACCCTTGTGCACTAGCAATGGATGTTTTAACACTGTCATGGCTTCAACCACGCCCACTGGGATGTATTCCCTGCCAAATTACAGCTCATATCATTTAGCCACCAAAATCTTTTAAACCTTGAACAAAGCTCACTCTGTATGGAATAACTTTTGCAAGAGGAACCATATAAAACCTACCGCTGCAGTTTTTTTCCTTTTTTTAATATATACCAGAGTCGAAGAGATCTTCATCTCCCTTTTAGAGAAGTATTAAAATACTCCCTCCGTCCACAAATAAAGTTCTCACTTTCCTTTTCGGTCCGTCCACAAATAAAGTTCCCATTTCTATTTAAGGAAAGTTTTTGTGTGTGAAAAGTCATGCTTGCCCTTACAAATATAACCCAAATTTCAACTTTCTCATTTCTCACCACTCATTTCCAATCCATCCCCCAATTCCTTATCTTCTTCCTCGTCATTCTTCCTGCTCCTCTGATCCTTCCTTATTTCTTGATTTTCTTCTTCTTCCTTTCTAATTTCTTCTTCTTCCTCCTCCTTTTTGACTTCTCTTTCCTCGTCATTCTTCCTCCTCCTTTTTTATTTTTTCTCCCTCCTCCTCTAAATTCCTTCCTCTTTCTCCCTTTTTACAGATCTATCTGAGATCTATCTGAAATTCTACCAGTGGGTGGATCGTAACAGGGAGTTGGTGGTTGGATCTACCGTTAATTTCTGTTAAAATTCATTCTATCATTGCTTTGCTTGTGTTGCCGGTCTCTGGTGCCTCATAGTCTTCGGTTACCTACCGGTTGCATCACCCATTCATCCAATTGCTTGTGTGCTAATTCGCTGGTCACTGGTTGCTTCCACAGCCGGTCTTGCTTCCCCAAGACCAGTGGCCTGCCTATTATCGGAAGACGAGGGGAGGGGGGAATACGGAATAGGGGATGGGGGCATTTTGGGAAAGTCAACTACATTTACATTTTTTCTTAATATGCGTGCCCGGTCAAACCGGGAACTTTAATTTTGGACGTAGGGAGTAATAAATATAAATAAACAAATCATTCCAATTAATGATAATCCCAGGCCTAATGGTATTACAATTCTAGGCTTAGTGAATTTTTTCATATTTAAGACGTCTGTTCAAACTCCAAATGTGTATCTAGGAGCTTTGAGACTATCGATTTTACACTTTGTCACATGTCGTGCTGATCGGCTGGATATTCTAGTTTGGCTGTTGAGGAATACACAAGGAAGTAATACCAACTAAACTGGGGAAGTCCATTTCACTTAAAAAGCTAGGCTGGTCAAACGTATGTGGAAGGAAAATAATAACTCAGCAAGAGAAACTCCATATCACATGACGCTTGGGAGGCTCACATCCAAAGAATATAACTGCCACCCCAATAGATGAACAACTATATAACAAACTGTGGTAGCGACTCAAACAATTGAGATCACATATTGAAATTAGTTTATTCGCTTCTCCGTATAACTTAGTACTCTTATATGAATGCAGTAAAATTTGAGAGACTTAAAAGTTCTTATTTTTAATATTTCCCATGAGGTGTTTTTATTATGGTTCTGAGAAATCGCCATCTAGACTCTCAGGTTGTTCTTTCTATTGTTATTCGCTTATACAATACTCATATTCGTGTATCACCGGTTCCATCCTAAATGTGGTTTAGTTACATCATACCTCATGAATCAGCATAAAAAGAAATAAAGAGAGCATACCTCTAAGGTGGTGGGTGATTATCTGCAAACAACACTCCCCAAATAGTTTTGATGTAGGATGATAGCCTTGAACCGCGGTTCTTATCCGAGCTGCTAGCCTGTCAAGAACCTGGCAAGAAATATCATTGTCCATCTCAGCTGAAAATAATGTGAGTAACAGATATATTACTTCAACAAAGAGGGCGGAGAGACCGACTAACCTTTAGGAGGTTTTGTTTAACAAATATTGCACCATGTGGAGATTTCTTAATATATTCTAGGCGGAGATTGAGCCTAAGATCATCTTTAGGAATTACTTGTGAAGAGGTGATACATGAAAGAAGAAGGCTATATAAAATCTGAGATAAAATTACTCCGTATAATGTATTGTAATGTAGTCATTAACATTAAAGAAAATAGGAAGTTAGACACTACCCAAGAGGATTCTAATGGGCCTTAGAATTAAATGCCTAGAAACTTAATGAATTAAAGACAAAAAATATTATTAGTAAAAGGCACTGCCTTATTCATTGTCCATACCTCGGATGGCCTTTGCTCGCTATGGATGGATCAAGCTTCCTAGTTCGATTTCTTCTTCCATGTGAAAAGTAATAAAAAACAAATTGAAGAATATCAAATCAGTAATGAGTTGAGAAATAAATAATGAACTGGACAATGGGCACTGGGCAATGAATGTTTTAACACGCCTTGTGCACTAGCAATGGATGTTTTAACACTGTCATGGCTTCAACCACGCCCATCTGTTGATAAAACAAAGACAGAATATACAGTATTTCTTTAAAACCAGAAATGGAAATCCATTTAAAATAGTGACACAATATTAGTTTCATATATAGACATCATCTATACAGCATAATGATTGGACGCTATGGCGACCTTAATAATTTTATTGATACTGATGTAAAAGCATATACGATGAAATAATTAATTTTATAGGTATGAAATACATTACATAGTATATACTTTGTAGAAAACGAGAATAGATAACACATTACTTTAAAAAAATATAAAGTAGATTTCCTTAAAAAAATCCACAGTCAAAGCCTGTCTAAAAAATTCCGCATGTTTCACTCACAAAAAAAAAAAGAAACACATTACTTTGCCTAGTCTGTCGCTAGTCAAAAACATGTGGAGATTTTGTTTAACAAATATTGCACCATGTGGAGATTTCTTAATATATTCTAGGCGGAGATTGAGCCTAAGATCATCTTTAGGAATTACTTGTGAAGAGGTGATACATGAAAGAAGAAGGCTATATAAAATCTGAGATAAAATTACTCAGTATAATGTATTGTAATGTAGTCATTAACATTAAAAAAAATAGGAAGTTAGACACTACCCAAGAGGATTCTAATGGGCTTTAGAATTAAATGCGAAGAAGAGCTCCATGTAACAACCTAATAAAAACACCAAGGAAGGTCATTATGAATGAGAAATTAGAAGAAAAAAGTGGCCTATTTCAAGCTATAAATTACCTGAGTATTGCATTGTCTCAAGCTATAAATTACCTGAGTATTGCATTGTCAACATCATAGACATTCCCTCAAGAATATATGAAGATAAAATAATCTAAAAAAGTAAATACCACCAGCATAGATTCCAATGAAAATCAAACTCTTTCGTGAGATTAAATTATTGCAACCATCAAAATGTGTAAAATGAAAAATCTCAAACATTTATCTATAATTGCCAGAGCTCAAACATACGGAGTATAATTAAAAATATTGAGAGAGGGAAAAAATGTGATCGTTCACCCATTAGGCGATCAATTGGTCTTTGCATCAGGCATAGGAAAGAGGCCCGCTCCAGCAGCTCCGCGGGGTGGTGAAAACCCTAGAAACTTCTGAAGATTGGTGTGAATGCTTATCGAGCAGAGAAAATACAAAAATGCCATTGAACAATCAGTCATGTCCTCCCCCGGCAACCCGCAGTGGCTCATCTTCTGAACAAGCCTGATAGGCACAAACGGTAATTTTGCAACGGGTTTCCCCTCAAACAGGTTGTTTAGAAATCCGAAGACAAGGAAAAGAACCACCGCGACTACGAACCCCGATTTGAACTTGAAGAGCGAGAGATCGCGGCTGGACTCCTTGAGGGTTGTCTCGACCCGGTCGATTTTCTTAGATTTGGACTTCTTGGAGGTGAGAGCGACGGTGGGATTGGATGATTCGAGAGTTGTCATAGTCTCAAGCTTCTTGGATGCCTTGTCGATGGAGGACTTCAGGGACTTGTAGGAGGCTGTGCGGTAGATTAGAAGCCAGGAGATGGCTTCGCATATAATTGCAGTGCAAATTGAGATTCCAACGACGATGCTGTCGGAGTAGCGGAGGCTAGATAACGATGTCGCTGCCATCTATACGGTGCCACGGTGGTGCTGGTTACTCACAGGGAGGCGAGGATGCAGAATTCTCACCAAGAAATCCCTTCGTACCAGTGCCTATATTGTACAGTGCAGAACTATTGTACAACACTGTAGTACTTATTTTGGGTAGAATAATTTTCATTCGAGTGGGGTATATAAAAGTATTGATTTTGAGTGGGGTATTCGAGTGGGGTAATTTTTTTTATTGCCCGCATGGATAGCTCAGTTCGTCAAGAGCGTGAAATCTTGGACCGATGATTAGGGATCGAATCCCGCAAGCGGCAGTGTGGAGCTATCCAAAAATCCCATAAAGGGTGAGGAGGCTCCTTGTGCGCGGTGGGCACGGGTCTAGCGTTCTTGGCCGACTGAGTCACCATGATTTACATCCTCCACCTTTCCTGTCGGGCAAGGGGGTGGGGGCGCCTGGGGTGGGCGATTCAACCTTTTGGATCGATGAATTAATTTTTTATTCATTTTGAATAAATGCAGTACTCATTTTGAAACAACGTAGCATTCATTTTCACACATTTATTCATTACAATTATAATATTCATTTACGAATAATATAATGTTCATTTTCAAACAATGCACTCTTCATTCTGAAGTAACTTACTCTTTTTAAAAACAACCTACTATACATTAATTGGAAATTCTTCTGGACCTAAAGGCAACCATCTCTGTTTTCTTCTTCGATCTTACGGCGCCTACTCCTCTCCATCTTCTACCGATGTCATCAGCACCACCAGCGAGTGTGACATCAAGGACAAGGACGACCTCTATTAGACAAATGTACAACTCTAGAGGCGGGGTGAATAGAGTTGTTTTCAAGAATGTGTGTTTTTCGCGTGTGTGAAATAATAAAATCACAGGAATAAATAAAGAGAGTAAGGGAAAGAAGAACACCGAGATTTATACTGGTTCAACACCTCGTGGCTAGTCCAGTCCTCCGAAAGACTCTCTCGAAAGTCCTACTAATCTTCAAGCTTCAACGGGTGCTTGAAAAACCGGTACAACTTGAGAACTTGAATCACACAAGCCTCACTTTCTTACAACAACAATACTTGAGTCACACAAGTCTTAATAACAACACTCAAATGAGATTGAGTTTACAACACAAGAATGAAAGCTCACACAATTCAAGAAGGTTGATCGATCCACCGATGGAATTCCGAAAATGAAGTGATCGATCCTCTGGAACCAAAATTCTGGAAATGAATTTTTGCAAGGCTTCGGTGGATCGATCCAAGAAGGTTGATCGATCCACCGATGGAATTCCGAAAATGAAGTGATCGATCCGAAGAAATGGATCGATCCCAATCCCTGAGCACAAATCACGTTGATCGATCCTAACAAATGGATCAATCCATTGACGAACAGACCTCAAACATGAGGACCCAAGACATGTATGCGAGTGTGATGGATATTTGGAGCTTAATGACTTGTTTTGGACAAGAATTTGAATATGATAAGGCTCCCATAAACAAACAAATCAAATGGGTTGAAAAGAATTAATTCAAATTCAAAATTTGAATTAAATATTTTGAATTTTGGTGTAGAAATTGAGTCCCAAAAATATTTTGTGTGTCAAACGATGTACAAGAAAAAATTCTTTAGAGAATATTTTTCTTACCAAAAAATTGTGTATCTTTAAAAAGCATTTTAAGAAATTTGACACAATATTTGAAACTGACTCAGTAAAATAATTTTTAGACAGAGAAAAAATGTTTTTTCAACTGACTCAAAAAAATAATTTTTATCCCTCAAAAATTAATTTGTTTATGCAAAAATTATTGTCATCCTTACAAGAATTCCTAGACTTAATAAAAATTAAAAAGTTTTCGGAGTCTTCACTTCACTTCAAAAAATCTGTGTAGGGGTGAGCATTGATTTTTATCGCCGTAAACTTCTTGATACCCTTCTTTGCTTTTCTCGATACGAAAAATAAATTTTCGAATATCGATTGAATTTAATCATCATGTTTGTCATTTATCAAAACAAAAATATTCCAAAAAATAATAAAGGGGTTTGAACTCATGTCCAACAATTTCCCCCTTTTTGATAATGACAAACATAGTTGAGAGAAAACAAAGTGTGAGATCAGGAAATACTTCTCTTAAATTGATTCCCCCTGCAAGGTTAGAGAAGTGAAGTAAAAATAATCGGAGTAATAAGCGGAAAAATGATTTTGAAAAACAAGTTTTCTCAACTATACTTCCTTCCCCCTTTTGACATTATCAACCGATATGCTTCCCCCTTAAACAATGCCGGGATATTGAAGGATAGTAAAAAAATGGCAAGAGTTTTCTTTAAAAGAGAACTACTAGTAAAAAAGCCACAAAGGGACAATATGTTCTAAACAAGAACAATATTGCCAATCCAACAATGATATCAATACACAATCATAATTAATACTACCTCCGTCCCACTGTCTTTGTCCACTTTTGACTTTTGGAACTGTTCATCTAAGCACTTCGACTCATCAAATTCTCTCAATGTGTAAGCCTAAATATAGTCATGTGTGACCTTGTTTGATTTGTCTTAACATATAGATTATTAATATATAATTTCTACAATTTTTTAATATACAAATTACAAGATAAAATGGATTAAAGAAGTGCATTAGATGGTGTGCCAAAAGGTAAGTGGACAAAGACAGTGAGACGGAGGGAGTAATAACTAGCATCATTCAAAGGAACATCATCATCCACCAAAAGAGTCATAAAACAATAACATTTAACAATGTATCATAAATAAGTCATCACATAATGAGAGAGAGAAGTCAAAGTGAGCTCGACGGCCGGGATCCACTACTGTAACTGTGACGCGGTCCGAAATATGGTCGTCGCTCTATCTCCGTTATCTGCTGCTCAAGCCGTGAGAGACGATGACCTTGCATGGTCACTTCCATACGAGTATGCGCCACATTACACCTGTGCAAATAAGGATCCGGGCCGGATCTAGGCCGGGCTTGATATAAATTATGAGCCCATTTATATGGGTGGGCTTGGCCCGACCCGAATTTGATGGGCTAAATTCTTTATCCATACCCGCCCATTTTTGCGGGCCAGACTGCCCACCTGGCCCAGATAAAACATCAAGAAATTTTTTTTGTACAAAAAATTTAAAAAAAACATTGAACTCTTTTTTAATGTTTAAAATAAAATAATCAGTCACCACTTTATATAGAAAGCATAATAGAGATATTGTTGCATATTTAATAAACCCATCATATTGATTCATTAAAAGAGTATTGATTTTTGTTTAAAATAGGTGAGTGAATTAAACTATTATACATGAATTATAGAAAATTTTAAAATTTATATTGGCTAGGTAATTAATAATAAAATAAATATATTTGATGGATATGGGCGGGCCTATTGGCCCGGATGGGTTAAAAGTAACTTCCAGATCCGCTCTTATATAATTCGGGCTTGGGCCGGCCCGCCCATTTGGGTATTAAAGGTTGTCCATATCCGCCCTTTTTAAAGGGCGGGCTGGGCGGGCCGAACGGGCTGACCCTTGTTTGCACAGGTCTACGCCACATCCGTGCGAGTGCAAGTCACGGCGTCTAAAATTCGTTGAAGGGTGGAACGATCAGCGCGACGCGATGAAGTAGAGCGTGACGCCCGAGTACGAGAGGAGCGCCGAGTCGATTTCACCTGAGCGACTTCTTGGACATGCCTCGGTTCGACCTCTATGTCATGTTCTTCTTCACCCTCTTCTTCTCCTTCTTCTTCTTCTCCTTCTCCTTCTTCTCCTTCTTCTTGCACGGCCCTTGGTACATTAGAGCGTTTGAAGGTTGCGAAATCGATGTACCACGTGTGGTTCTTTTGGACGTGGATATCTTTTAAAGGCACCTCCAAAGCTCTCAAAATGTTCATGATCGGGAACACATACCCAAGAGACCCTTTTGACTTCGTGAGAATAAGGTTATTGCAAAAGAATTTTGCCCAATTGATTTTAATATTGTTCAAAAACACGAAGAGAAGACGAGTGTCTGATGAAAGTATTTTGGAATGGCTCGACTTACGAGGAGCTAATACTTTCGAAATGAAGTAATGAAGAATTCGAAAATGAGGCTTAAGACCTCCAACGATTAGGCGTTCTCGCCCAAGAATTTCTTCAAGGCACACCTCGGTAATGGCATTTTATCTAAGGTGTATGAAGCATTATTAAACATTTCCAATTTGCTCTCTAAACTAGCAACCTTAGCTTTTAGTGATGTACAACTAGAGCATGTAGAAGAAGAAGTAGTTGAAGGTTCTTGTGGCCTTTTTCCAAAAGAGATAATTTCTTGTTTAAGTTTATCATTTATATTTTTAAGTTCTTTGATATCATTCTCAAAAATCGGGATTTTTTGTTTTATTTCATTGTTTTCTTTGGAAGCCTTTTTGAACATTCCTACCAAATCTTCTACAATGCAAACAACACTATTAAGAGTTAAAGGATCATTGGGAGAAGGTTCTTGATCACTTACCTCTTTTGATGTATCACCATCTTCAATGTCCATGAGACATAAGTTGGCGACTTCCTCCGTTTCCGAGTCTTCACTCCCAGAGCCGTTGTTCTCCCAAGAAATGTAGGCATGTTGCTTCTTCGGTGCCCTCTTGTCCTTCTCGTTCTTGAGCTTTGGGCACATTGGTTTGATGTGTCCAATTTCACCACACCCATAGCATTTGGGTGGAGTGTTCTTCTTGGCTCCCTTCTTGAGCATCATCTTTTTAAATTTTCAGACAAAGAGTCCGAGGTCGGTGTCGTCGCTATCATCATCTTCATCATCAACGTTGTTGTGGGTTGATGTTGTTGCGGGTAGAGCAATAGACCTCTTGTTCCTCTCTTCAACCACCTTTGAGAGTTGGGTGGTTTCGTAGGTAATAAGATTACCTCGAAGAGCATCATAGGTCGTTGTTTGGAAGTCACGACCTTCTTCGATTGCGTCTACCTTTGAACGCCATTTGGGGGATAGGCTTCGCAGCACCTTTCTCACAAGCTCTCGGTCGGTGTATGTCTTCCCGAGAAGATTGAGAGGATTGATGATGTTAGAGAATCTCTCAAACATTTCCTCAATCTTCTCATTTTCCTTCATTGAAAAGAGTTCATACTCGTGAGTGAGATGGTCGATTTTGGCCTCCCGAACCTACGCGGTTCCTTCGTAGGTGACCTCCAATTTTTCCCACATTTGTTTTGCGGTTTCACACCGCGAGATTTTGCGGTAGTCATCCGCATTAACACCGCAATAAATCATGTTTATTGCCTTTGCGTTGAGTTCCATCTTTTTGTAGTTTTCGTCGCTGAACTCCTCTTCGGTTTTGGGAACGTTGAATTCACCCACTTTCTTCATCCGGACTCCGCAGCCGTTTTTCACAATCAACCACAGCTTGTAGTCGTTGGATTTGATAAAAATTTTCATACTCTCCTTCCAATATGAGTAGTTTGTTCCATCGAACAAAGGTGGCCTCGTGGTTGATTGTCCCTCGGTAACTCATGCGTTGAACATCCCTGATGCCATTTGATGTTATAGTTCCTGAAAAATAACGTATTCGAAGAACTTCCTGCTTTGATACCAATTGTTAGACAAATGTACAACTCTAGAGGGGGTGAATAGAGTTGTTTTCAAGATTGTGTGTTTTTCGCGTGTGTGAAATAATAAAATCGCAGGAATAAATAAAGAGAGTAAGGGAAAGAAGAACACCGAGATTTATACTGGTTCAACACCTCGTGGCTAGTCCAGTCCTCCGAAAGACTCTCTCGAAAGTCCTACTAATCTTCAAGCTTCAACGGGTGCTTGAAAAACCGGTACAACTTGAGAACTTGAATCACACAAGCCTCACTTTCTTACAACAACAATACTTGAGTCACACAAGTCTTAAGAACAACACTCAAATGAGATTGAGTTTACAACACAAGAATGAAAGCTCACACAATTCAGCAGAGTAGTGATGAAAAATTAAAGCTCTATCGATGACAAAATCTTTAGCACTCAATAAAATATTTCTAACTCTCAAAATAATATATTTGAAGAGGAAGATGAAAGCAAAACCTGAATATTGATCAAAGAAGATATTGGAGTGCAAGAGATGTGTTTTTAATGAAGGAGGATGAGTGTTTTTATAGGGGGGGAAAGAAATAAATCCGTTAGAAGTAGGGAAGAGGTGATTTTGACAGATTGGTGTGTTGGGGATCGATCCAAGGCAAAAGATCGATCATCTCGAGTAAACTTCTGAAAATAAATTTGTGTCAAAAGCAGGTGATCGATCCTCTGGAACCAAAATTCTGGAAATGAATTTTTGCAAGGCTTCGGTGGATCGATCAACCGATGGAATTCTGAAAATGAAGTGATCGATCCGAAGAAATGGATCGATCCCAATCCCTGAGCACAAATCACGTTGATCGATCCTAACAAATGGATCGATCCATTGATGAAGAGACCTCAAACATGAGGACCCAAGACATGTATGCGAGTGTGATGGATATTTGGAGCTTAATGACTTGTTTTGGACAAGAATTTGAATATGATAAGGCTCCCATAAACAAACAAATCAAATGGGTTGAAAAGAATTAATTCAAATTCAAAATTTGAATTAAATATTTTGAATTTTGGTGTAGAAATTGAGTCCCAAAAATATTTTGTGTGTCAAACGATGTACAAGAAAAAATTCTTTAGAGAATATTTTTCTTACCAAAAAAATTTTGTATCTTTAAAAAGTATTTTAAGAAATTTGACACAATATTTGAAACTAACTCAGTAAAATAATTTTTAGACAGAGAAAAAATGATTTTTCAACCGACTCAAAAAAATAATTTTTATCCCTCAAAAATTAATTTGTTTATACAAAAATTATTGTCATCCTTACAAGAATTCCTAGATTCAATAAAAATTAAAAAGTTTTCGGAGTCTTCACTTCACTTCAAAAAAATCTGTGTAGGGGTGAGCGTTGATTTTTATCGCCGTAAACTTCTTGATACCCTTCTTTGCTTTTCTCGATACGAAAAATAAATTTTCGAATATTGATTGAATTTAATCATCATGTTTGTCATTTATCAAAACAAAAATATATCAAAAAATAATAAAGGGGTTTGAACTCATGTCCAACAACCTCGGACCTCTATCTTCTACAGAAGACTCGTCGGCTAGGGTTGCGGAGCCACCATCATTGCCACCACCACCTTCATATGTCGTCGATCACTGCTCATCATCCGGTTTCCGACCTTCTCTTTGTTGGTTTCCTCTTCATCCCTGCGCCTCTCCTCTGATCTATTTATTGGCACTATCAAAAAAATGGTACAATCGGCGGTACCACATAATTTGCGTTCGTACAGAAAGTGAAGTTCACTTAGGTGGCTCGTGAAAAAATAATCCTCCCTTCTTTCCATTCATTTTTATTTTTTCAATTTATAATTTAGTTTTACTTTGTATTAAAAGAGTAAATTCCATAATTGGTCCTTTATAATATGGGGGTTTCCATATTTACTCCTCTATTATCAAATATTACTCCTGTAGTTCTTTTTTAAGGGTGCCTTTCCACAAATGGTCCTTTTCTTGATCTTCTGCCATGTTTGTGTTAATTTAAATGCTAAAAGTATAATTTGACATCAACATTATGTCTAGTGACGTGTTCTGATATTGGTAAAGCGGAAAACACAAAAATAATGACTATGAATGTGGGCTAGCATTGCGACGAAAGACCACATTTGTAGACTATAGTTGTAGTATAAAGCGAATGTAATTCACAAACAACGCAAACGGAACAGCCTTTGGAATTGTATATGACAAAAACTGTAATGCCCCGAAACCTGGCCCAAAAGAATTAATTAAATTGTTAAAGCAATTGATTACGAACTGAGCCCAAAAAGGGGTTAAAATTATAATTTGGTTTTTTAAGCCCAACTTTTATGTCATCTCGTAGGAAATATTTTTGTGATCGCGTCGGTTCAGACGGCTCGCGAATCGGAGTTATGGAGCTCATGTTATGACCATTTAATCAGGTATTTTGGGTCCGAAGCCCAATCCTTTTAGGAATGGGACCATTAAATAAACCTAAACCTCAGCCACTTAATCCTTATCTTCTTCTTCCGTCCTTCGTCCGTCCTTCTTCTTTCTTCTTCTTTCTTCTTCTTCTTCTTCTTCGATTTCTTCTTCGTCTTCCCCAGCAAGCATCGCCGCCGTGAGCCAGCCGCCGGCGTCGCCCTTCACCAACCGGTCGCCGCCGCTGTGTCCTTCGCCAGTAGCCGCCGCTCCTCGTCGCCGTCCAATTGGAGCAGCCAGCCGCCGGCGTCACCGCTCATCGCCGGTCGCCCTTCCCCAGCCAGCCGCCGTCGCCGAGCCTCCAGCCGCTGTTTCACCTTCGCCGGAAATCCGCCATCATCGCCGACGAATTGCAGCGCCGCCACGCCGAGCGCTGGACGTCGCCTCCACTGCCGGCGTCCTTCCTCGCCGTTGATTGCAGCGCCGCCAGTCGCTGCTCACCGCCGTCGAGCTGCCGCTACGCCACTGTCGCCGGCGTCCGTCACCGTCGCCGCATCCAGCCGCTGCCCCGAGTTGATATCGCCGGCAGATTAACCTCCACGCCGGATTGATTGGTCGATTTCGTATTTTGACTCGATTTGACCCGTTCGTTTGATTTCGTTGATTTGTCTTCCGTTCGAGATATCGATTCGATTTCGGCGTAATCCAGGTCCGTACTATGAAGTTAATAGCATTTAGAATAGATTTAATGGTTTGGATCGTTATATGTGTTTATGCTATAATTTGGCTAAATTGGTTAATTGAATTAAATTGATTATTTGAATTGAATTGTTGAGGATTGTGAATTGACTGAACATGTTTGACTTTGACTTGGGTTAGGTCACGTTTGACTTAGGCTTTGACTGGATATTCTGTCGACGTAGGTTTGACCGGATGGTTAAATCCAAGACTTTAATGAATTAGTTAAGTTAATTAATTAATTCTAATCGGTGATTAAGGTCAATTGGTTTATTGTGTCGATCATAGAAACTGGCCATTGCTCGGGCGGCTGCAGGGCCTGGTCAGTGAGGTTAAGACGTGCGCACGAGGGTCTGTGATCTTGGGTTTGAGCCTATCGCCCGAGGGATCTTACCTCCACCGAATTGAGGCTATCTTCGGTATTACGGATTGAGGCTATCTCCGTCATAGGCATTAAATGTTAAGTGGTTTGACTTTGGTGAAAGTCTAAATTGGTTTGACCGGTGGTCAAAGAGTTCATGAGAAACCCGTAACACCTAAATCGTTTTGAAAAGAAAGAAAATAAGTTGACTGTTGGTCAACCGTCTAAAGAACCGAACGTAAAGTTGAATTGATTTTTATTAAAAGGATAAACATATGCACGATCTCAATTGTTGAATTATTATGTTTATTCTTGTGCTACAATGGAGTACCACTCAGCGTCAATGCTGAGCGGATAGCGTTGTTTTTCTTTTTGCTGTCCGTAGGTGATCAGACAGATGAACCTAGAGCCGATCCCAGAGGGCATTGTGAAATTACACTTTTAGCCCTCAAATTAACACGAACATGATAGAAGATAAAAAAGGACTATTTGTGGAAAAATACTTATAAAAGAAGGACCATTGTGGTAATATTTGATAATAGAAGACTAAATAGGGAAACCCCCTGTTATAAAGGACTAATTATGGAATTTACTCGTATTAAAATCACATTAAATTATATCACATTTGATTTGTTCAAAAGTGATCAAAACAAATCAGATCTAATCAAGTATAATTAGATAAAATATATTTATATTAAACTAGATAAATTCATAAAAATATTAAAAAGTAATGTTATTTTTTTTATTATTGCATAATAATAGTTATATAAAAAATTTATTTTATATTATTTAATGTTGCATATAGTCAGTAATATACTACTATAATGTTATATATTATTAAATTTTTTTCATTATAATTATACTCTGTATTAATTATAAATTAAAGATATCATAATATTTTATCTGTTATTAAATTATTGCGTTCTTTCGAAAAACGTGTGAAATTTGTTTAAAAACGTAAGAAAAGAATATACCAATATACAATTGTTCACCACAACTTGTGGCTACGTCATGTCTCTCGAGAGACTCTCTTAAGCTACACTACTTCCATTAAGCTTACGAGTGCTTAACAAACTGTTACAACCTGAGAAGTCGAGTCCCACGAGCCTCAACACACTTGCTCGGAGATACCGCACTTCAGGACTTGAACCCGAAGGAATATACCCTTCCTTCGTACAACCAAGGGAAAAACCTCCATTCAAGTGTTTACAACACTCAATCACCCAAGAACAAAAACTCTCTTAAAGAATAGAATATGAGTAAACTAATTTAGATCAAGAACATACTCAATTCTCAAAAATGACTCTAAGAAACTATGTAAAAAGTTTATGGAGGGATGCAAGGTAAAGTTATGAAATGTGTGAGGAATGGTTGTTCAAAGTAGACCCAAGAGACCCTTTTTATACCCAAAAATAAGGTGCAACGGTTGGGAGAAGATTAGGGTTGATTGGCATGATTTATGGAAATCAAATCAAAAGTTGATCTACTAAAATCTTGCCTAATGTCGATGTTCATATAGTGAACCTAGTTATTTTGGCTTTGACATTCCTTTTGAAATGGCTAATTGTCATGAGAACATCGATGTTTTGAAGGCTACATCGATGTTAGGGTGTTTGACTTTCAAAATAGAAAGATTTTGTCTTAAAGACACCAACGGTCATTTGAAAATATTGATGTTCACGAGTGCACATTGCTATTCAAAAACCTACTGCCAAAAACAGATGTAAGCCAACCTCGCCAAAACATTGATGTTCAAAGTCCTACATCAGTGTTCTGAAACCTACTGCCATGGCCAAAACAATGATGTTCAAAGTCCAACATCGATGTTGATTCTAGATGCCAAAATCATGGTTTGCCAGCCAATACCGAAAACCCATGTTACAAAATTTAGGTTTTCCATATTAAAAACCAAGTTTTGGAAACACTTATTTAATGTATTTTAGGTAGAAAACAAGTATAACACTTAAAAACCACAATGTTTATGTGAAAACCACGAATGACCAAGTTAAAAGTAGTTTTCATGGTTTTTGAGAATCGGCCAAAAACCAAAAGTGGTTTTTAGAAAGTTTAATTGGGAAACCATTTAAACATTCTGAGAAATAAAAACCAATCATAAACCGTTGAAAAAACTTGGTTGATTCGGATGCGAAAAATCAGCGCCGATAACTAGCGTCGAATGACGAAAACCAACACCGAAAATCAAAGGTTATGGTTTTTAAAAACTAATCATTTAGAAACCCTTAAAATGTGTCCAGAATTAAAAACAAAAGATAAAAATTCAAAAACCATTTGGCTAAAATCAATACCAATAACCAACGCCGATGATTATGGTTTTGGTTGGGCAAGAATCGAGAGTTTTGGAAACTTAAAACCATTTGTGAAAACACTAGTTTGATTCCTGAAAAATTATTTTGTTTGGAGCCAAGACTTAGAAGAATTAAATGGGCTTGTAACAAAAAAAACCTAAGTCTTTAGACAATGTCTTCAAAATGTCTATGTCGTCGTCTCTAAAAACATCAATGCCTTCAAAGAACTTTTTATATGCCTTTGCATCTTTTCATTTTGTTTCATGTTCTCGACGGTTTGTCAACATCAAAACCTAAATAGAAGCAAACATCGTCATTAGCAAAACGTCAATGTGAAAATATTTTCCAACAATTTCCCCTTTTTGATAATGACAAACCAAGACGGAATATGCAAGTCAATGTTGTTTAATACAAAACAATGTTATTTGGTATCCTCTTGAGTAAAGTAGCTTTAGCTTGGAGGGTTTGAGTTTGCTTGGGCAACATCACTATTGGCAGACTAATTGAGTAAAGTTGATTAGCGTGCCTCTCAAATACATCAATGTTGGTAATCAAACATCGCTGTTGTATGTTCCCCCTGAAACTAATACCATTTTATATCAAAAACACTTCTCCCGAACTTTGCTTTATTGTATTTAGGTGCCCTAGCAGCAATTAAATACTTATGTAACTGTACACTTTATCATGAATGAAAGGCATTAAAGTATGTTTTATATCTCGTGTAACATAACACAGTTTTAGTCCATAGACGATAGAGCTTCAATAACATAGATGAGGACTACGATGTTTGTATTATGAGACTGTTACTTCTTGATGAAGGCTATCTCTAGAATGTCCCTAGTCGCACTTTATGATAATACGGACGTCATACGTATCAAGACAAGTAGGTGCATATTACATGATAATATGTGACTGATTGACCCATCTTGAGAATACTATATGGATGTACAGTAATGTGTTTATTAGTGTTCTCAATTCGACGTTGTTATAACTATCCTCAAACTTGAAGTTATTACATTATCTGATATGTGGGGCCGTATGCTTTGATTCATAACTAATGCTATCTGAAATACTGGTAGACGTACAGTTATGTGTTGGGTATGCCGCTAAGCATATTTAGAGATGTGAATAACAGATATAGAATTTGTCCCTTCTACTGTATAGAAATATAATGTCATGGATCCACTGAATAGTAGAATTTGGGAAAGTGCTGCATGGCCATGCCCAGTATGTCTCTATCTAGAGACTGATAAATATCTTATCCCTGCCAGTCTACTTGAGATTCAGTAATAGCTGATTTAACTATACAAGGATACTAACTTCAAAAAAAACTATACAAGGATACACATCCCATGCCTTGTGTTAAATCATGACATTTAGGACATAAGGATAATAGTTATAGAACATCATGTGTCATAGAAGATATTGATGACATGAACGTCTTTTTCATAATCTAGGGGTAATAATGTGTTGCTAGATACCGCTTATTAACTATGATATTAATTTATGTTAATATCATTAGCAGTGTTATGGATACCTAAAGGGTCATACACTTATAACTTGTAAGGGAGTAGTATACTATACTAGTGGGAGTAATATTAAATATATAGTTGTGATATATATATATATACACACACACACACACAAATATATATATATATATATATATATATATATATATATATATATATATATATATATATATATAGCGAGAGAGAGAGAGAGAGAATTAAGATCAGGTGAGAATAGGATCTTATGAGAGAAATGAGAACGCATCTTGGCCGCCCAATCTTCTGGATTTTACCTATTTAGTAAGGATATCGTCATGCCCATTTTGGGATTTTCATAACAAGTTTTCTCTCTATTATCTATTTAGGTTCTTCCCCAATAATTAGCCCACGATTTTAGCCATTCACGTCTTCTGTTTCGTTTTCTACAGATCAAATATGGCAACAATTTTTAGTCTATTTTTGTTCTATTTTATCTTCTCCGATGGTAGGGATTTATCACAATTTTTAATAATATCATTGAATATCATATGTGTCATGTATGATAATCAATTAATTCACTTGAATAATTTTAAGTGATGAGTTATAGTTGATCGCAGCTTTCAATCGAGAACTCAAATTCTATTATCGAGAATTCTTTTTTTGAGTTTGTTTTCATTTTGTGTAACCATGTTGCATTTTTTCATTCCCAAGATGCATTATTCTGGTCTCACGATGCATTATGGTGTTCCAGGATGTACTTATTTTTGTTAATGTTAAGTACTCCCTCCATCCCTGAAAACCTTTCTCATTTCTTTTTTCATCCATCCCAAAAACTTTTCTTATTTTTATTACTAAAAAGTCACTTTTTTCCCACTAATTCTTGACCTATCTATCACATCACATCTATTCACTATTAATCTACCTATAAAATTCTACTTTACCGATCACATTTAAGGACATTTTTAAAAACTCAACACCAAAATACACTCTCTTAAATTCCTAAAAATCAAAATCTCCTATATTTTCATGAATGGAGGGAGTACTTTACTATCTGAGAATGCACAATGAACACTGGCGTTAAAGTAATACATTTAGATGAGAAGACAATGCATTCTCAAAATCCAAGGATAATGTATTCCCTGTTACTGCGCATTCTTAGAATCAAAGTAAAATGCATCTATTTCGATGAAATCATTCTAGCCAAAGATGATGCGTTTGTATATTCTAAATAGAAAATTTTATGCAAACGATGATGCATTTAACATATTCTGTGATACATTTGAATAGGGGTTGGAAACACATTGAATGATGCAAATTTTAATAGATTACAATATGTATATAATAGGTCCAAGTGATGGGAGTCTCTTTGAAAAAATAAATCATTGCCTATTAGCTCAAATGGTAGAGCAGTATGTACTACATATGTGGGTTCGAATCCTGCATAGACAAACTATTTCTCAAAACCTATATTACAACTATTTGGAATATAATGCATTCTCTGACTTTCTCATCGAATACAAAGTCATGCAGGAGTCATTCTTGGCTAATCCATAAATTAATAGAATGAATTTTGAATAAAATCTGGAGAACAAATCACAATGCATATATCGGTCATCACAGTGCATGCACATCACATCAGAGTGCATCTTGTCGAGATAAATCTGGAAAAGGGGATATTTAAAATCATTTCCTAAATTAGATGTATTTGAGACAAAAGGAGTAGCATTGAGAGAGTGTGTAACATCCCAAAAAATAGTCTAAAAATTATATAAGAAAAAAGTATGTATAAATGTACTTTTATTACATAGCTTTGAAATGTGAGAAGAAAAAAATAAAAATTTTGTATTCAACATTGGCGTCATTTGGTAGATCTCGACGAGAGATTTCCAACGGCATATTATTTGTCAAGAATGGAGTTGTATGCGAAAGGTTATGTACAATAATTAAATAAAATGAATTTTATATGTTAATATAATAAAATTCTCCTCAATACATCATACGGTATCACGTTTGGTTATGCATTAAGATACATAGTTTTACCTTAATGCCCTTCATAGTTAACTTTCTCCTAAATTGGTGCGTTGTAATTAATTCCTTCCTTTTAAATTGAATATTAGTGATTTCATCTGTGTTTAATGATCTCCGTTCGATGCATCTCATCGAATGACTCTCTTTTATTCTTATTTCTTTCACCAAGCACCATTCTCACAGGAACCAACTCCTATATATATATATATATATATATATATATATATATATATAGATTTTGGGTTCTGGTGAGAATGCGATCTTATGAAAGAAATAAGAATGAATCTGCTGCTTTAGATTGTGAGATCTAAGGGTTAGAATTGCATCAAAATTCGGTGCATGAAAATGGTTTGAAAATGCATCATGTCGAAATGCACCAAAATTTCTTGAAAATGCACTATCTCAAAATGTGAGTGCAGGATGCAATCTGAGCCGCACGATGCATCAGATCCAAAGGCTAGATTTTATTCTTATTTCTTTCACTAAGGTGCATTCTCACTTGAACCAATCCCTATATATATATATAGTGCCGAATATAATATATAATATATATATAATTAATTAATTAATCAAAATAGTTAATTAATTACTAAGATGGACTCGGTGGAAATTATGAAATATTCTTTGTTTGATGATAAGGTTTATACCGTTTTGTAAGATTCAACGGAACAAATCCAACGGTGTGATCGGATTTGGATTTGGAGCCCGTGAGCTCAGAAAGTGCGTTTTGGGCCAGGTACGTTAAGTTAATACGGAGCCCAAAACCCCAAACATAAATAACACCCTACACGCCCAAAATCCTTTTCACACATCCCATAATATTATGTAAACCCTTTTCTCTCTCTTGTGTTTCCCTTGCCGATTGGAAATTCAACAGAATATAGGTAAGGATGGCAACGGGTCGGATTTGGTCGGGTTTGAGTATATTGAAATCTAACCCGACTTAAGTTGTGTTCAGAATTAATTTTTGCGGGTCGTTTTAAGATAATTACTTATTTGATTCAAATTTGGTTTAAGATTTGGTCAAGTTGGTTTTGGTCAAATTCGGGTTTGAATACAAATAAAAGTATTCATGAAAAATTTTAGATTGAAATACATTAAAAATTTAGAATTTTAAAGATGAATTAAAATTTAAGATATTAATAAAAATAATTTTGACCGAATAACCCTAAAAAAATAATTAAACAACAAGCTTCAACTAATAATATACGGAGTAAAATGAAAATAACATAAAGGTAACACACAAGATTCATGCACAAAAAAAAAATAAAACACAAAGAAATGTAATAAGTTTTTAAACATTCAAAACATGTGTATAAAAAATACATGGAATATAGGAATTGAATGTGTTTTTTTGAAAGGGAATTTAATGTGTTTATAAGTTATTGAAAGTCAGATACACAGGTTTAATCGGGTTGATTATGGGTTTAATTGGTCAAATATATTGATCCAAACCCGACTCGACAAGAGTCGGGTTCGGTTTAATTAATATTCAAATCGGTTTCGAATATTTAATTTTTCGATTCAGATTCGAATATTATAAATTCTGATCAGGCCCTTATACGTCCAAATCGGGTAGAATTGACGATTGGACATCTAAAAACTAGCAAATTATATCGTACATCCAGCTGTACCTTCCTTTAGGTACAACCTGGTATTTTTGTAAATTTTGTAAGCTTTTTATCCAATGCCCAGAACATATATGAGAACTATTATATATGACAATGAATACGAGCAGATTTGAGAACGAGTACCAGCACTTATGAGAATTATCATATTCTTATTCAATACAAACATGAATAGATCTGAGTTTTAAAATCTCCATGATCAGAAAATATAAATGAGTAGGAACAAATCGAATAGAGGAAGAAGTTGATGATGGTACTAAACTTTTTACTTGTGAAAAAATTGAACAATACTTTGTTTCAGAATGAAATTTTCCTTATTTGAGAATGAATATTGTTTTTTTAAGAATGAACACTAAGCTATTTATTATAATTATATTAGATGAATGTGTAAAAATGAATACTTCTTTATTTTAAAATGAATACTATCTTTGCCAAAATAAGTACTACGTATTTCAAAATGAAAGTTTAAATTTATATAAGAATAAGTAGTAGTTTATTTGAGAATAAGTACTATCTTGTACCTAGGCCTAACATTAGTAGTTTATTTGAGAATAAGTACTATCTTATCTTATACCTAGGCCTAACATTAGTAGTTTATTTGAGAATAAGTACTATCTTGTAGCTAGGCCTAACATATATCATCAGAGCGTTTCTCTCAATTCTTTCTTCCTGGCCAAGACAAGCGAGACTGCTCTCCTGTTGATTTTCGCACATTAATTATAACCTAGCGATCTCGTTTTTGTACTCGATCGTTGTCCCTTCCTTCGTTTGGTGAAGGGTTTCCATGGCTGCCCGAAGGTTATACAGTCGAATACTTCCCGTCTTAGTTCCTAGGCGGTGCCAACCTTCTTCTATCTCAGGAGGTAACCCTCCCTTTTCCCAATCATCAAGTGAAAGCTATTATTTGCTACTATTCAATTCAAGAGGTAACCGTCTGCTAAGTAAGTAAATACGGTAGTTGGTTGGGGTTTTTCTTGTGTGTATGACATGGGATTGATGCGTCTTAAATTTTAAGAGCCCCGAAACCTGAATTCTTGTTGGTTTTAAGCAAAGATTGATGTTTGGAGATGGAGATAATATTCGCCATGGCATTAGGGAGGAAGAGTGTTGACATGTTTTCATTGTTAGACTAGGATAGTGTTTTTCAGTGTTTAATTCTAAAGGTACTACTACCTTTTGATGGACTAAGTTATTTCACATATTTGCTGCAAAGAAGTGAAAACTGCTACCCAATGTTTTTTTTTCCAAAATTGTAGCGCAGAGGGAAAATTGTCCATGTTGCTAAGAATACAGTTTCAGTTGTTGGTTGTATTTTAAAATCTCAGGAATAGTCATTGGATTGCACTGCTCTTTTGCTATCTAGGTTGAATTCTGTAGAAACTTTTTAATGACCTGGTTTTATCTTTTGTCATTCTTAATTAATACTAGTATTAGTGGCTGATCTACCATGCTTAGGCTGTTCGTAGTGCCTCACCTTTTCACGATTGTGATCCTCTGTGGCAATGCCACATAAGCATGCTTCCCAGGTGAACACTGCCCCCTGGCCCCTGTGATTGCTTCACGTGATTATGCCTATGGCCATGGCCACGGGAATGAAGCGCAGGACTGTTAGATTATTATGTTATTTATTTAGTTTATATTATTAAATCATTTCATTTAATTTTTTTTACAATAACGTCAATTTTGTTCATAACTTTTTGTTTATAAGTCATTGCTTGACAAATAATATATTGCCGGAAATTTCTTTACAAGGTCTACCCAACGATACCAATATTGCATATATAATTTTGACATTATGTCGCGCTACTATTTTTGCCTAAACACTTTTGAATTGAACAAACTCTGTTTTATTATAATTTTTTTTGGGAATGAAACATGTTTTAAGTATAAATTATGTTTCGTTTATATTTTCCCCTTTTGAACTAAGTTAGTTTATATTTTTTTGCCAAAAAAAGTTAGTTTATGTTTTTTTATTTGCTATAAAAAAACTTGTGCAAAAAAAGTTTTACTTAATATTTTTCTTTTTTCAGATTGTGTCATAACAACATTATATAAAAAAAAGTAAAGAAAAACAAAAAATGGTTTGAGCGGAAAGGAAAACAATAAAACCAAAAAAAAAAACAAAGAGTTTGGATGTAAAAGATAAAACAAAAAAATAGGAATTAAATAAAACATAAAAATAATTGATTTTTTTATTACAAAAGATATAATTTAATTTAATTAAAAATAGATAAATATTAAAAAATATTATAAATTGCGTAGTCATTGTAGTGGAAGTGGAGTACTATGGGTGTGAAGTCAGTGAGAAGGTGAGTGCAGTCAGCGCTAATGTGACGCTGAGTGACTGGCTGACTGCTGATTTGGAGTGAGTGGCGGTGGAGCGCTACTCATGGTCTTAGTCTCATTCTGCCAATATTGGGTGTGTTGGAAAATGGCTTTTCGGCCAACTTTTAGTTTTTTTACTGGTTTTGGCTGAAACTAACTTTTAGCATATGTATATGTTTGTTTATTCAAATGTAATAATTCTTTCTTCCAAAATTATCTTAACATTTAAAAACTCACACCATTCAAGCTCTCTCATTTCACCATCTTGTTAGATTCGTCTTGTTAAAAAGTTTTACATTATAAGTTTTTATGAATTTTAATATTCCCTCATTTCCATTTAAAATTTCTCATTTTGACTTTCTCTAAGTTTATTGGAAGTATTGGAAAATGAAAAAGGTGCGGTTAGAATTGGTTAAGAGGAGAGAAAGTTTCTTAGCCACAAAGTTTCAACTTTATTAGGAAGGGAAGATTTTTATGGGACGGATGAAAAATAAAGTAAGAAGATTTTTATGGGACGGAGGGAGTAAAACATACCTTAATTAATTAAGAATTGAATATGTACATTTGAGAATAGTAAATTTATACCTGGCATCTATAAACAACTAATTTTACCATTGTAGAATGTCGATGCAAAGGTATCAATTACTTAATAGTAAATTAGTTGATTGTAGATGCAAAGGTATCAACTGTCCATCTATTATTAATTGATTATCCTAGTTAGACTAGAAATCCTAGTTAGACTATAATTAGAGTTGGATTGTAATTAGAAAAAATCTATATTAGCACCATCTTGTTATTAGATATGATCATCAATATGAACAGTTGTGGCTTTCAGCTTTAAAAGGTGCCTGAACACACAAGCAATACCAAGAGATCTCATCAATTGGTATTAGAGAAAGTAAGATCAACATCTCACCTGTTTCAAGCTAGAAGTTGAGTATTTAGGTCACTTCATTTGAATCAAAGATGTGCACAAGTATGCGCAGCACTGTGATACTTGTCAGCATAATAAAGCTGATTCTAGAATGCCTGCCGGACTGCTGGAACCTTTTGCCCATTCTGGATAAGGTATGGTTTGATATCATAATGGATTTTATTGAAGGCTTGCCTAAACCAAGAGGGAAAGACACCATTCTTGTGGTTGTGGAGAGTGGACTGCTTGAGCAGGTATGCTCAGTTTACGCCTCTTTCACACCTATTTTCAGCGAAGGAAGCTCCCGAAATACTGGTGAAAGAGGAGCGGTGAAGCTACATGGGGTTCCACAATCAATTGTATTGGACAGAGATCAAACCTTTCTCAGCAATTTTTGGCAGGAATTATTTAAGATGCAAAGAACTGAACTGAATATAAGTTCAGGCCTTATATCCAAAAATAGATGGGCAAACAAAGCCACAAAGGTTATAAATAAATGCCTTGAAAAATATCTCAGATGTTTTCTATTTTTTGAGACCACGACAGCGGGAGCAATTTCTAGCTTGGGCTGAATATCGGTACGACACAATATATCACACCTCCATAGGAACAACTCCCTTAAAGATGCATATCTAGATTTTAACGCCTATTGCCTGGTCAACCTCATGAACAATGGCTGTTCCAGCAGTCTAATGGATCAGCCAATTTCCGCTTTAAGGGAGTTAAAAGAACATCTTGACATTTCAAGGAATTGCATGAAGCAATTAGCTGATCGACATTGCCCAGAGCATATCAATTGCTACGACCTTCACCTTACAAGAAATAATCTATTGCTAGAAGAGCATAAAGCTGGCTAGCATATGCTTTGTGCCATTTCTAGTGCTGAAACATGGGTTGATAATTTACCAACTACAACTACCTGAAACAGCAAGAACACATTGTCTTTCCATGTTTCTCTGCTGCAAAGAAGAGTAGGCAAGGGGGATGATGTCATTTCCACTTTGCCATGTCACATCAAGGATGGAGAATGAGCGATTGAGCCAAAAGAGGTTCTACATTAGAGTTGGTCTGCTGGCAAGAATGGTCGAATTTGCCAAAGATGCTACCCGGGAGCCTGTCAACATGCCAAGGGAGCAGTACCCTAGTCTCCACTTTGAGGACAAGGCGATTCTTGAAGGGCAAGAGAATGATGGGTTCTTGCCTTCTTTTTATTTGAAAGCGGGTTCTTGTTTTCTTGGTCTACACTAGATGCACGAATCCCAAGTTTTGTGGCGCTTAGGGATATCCTACTTGGATTAGGATAGAGAGTTTCTGTATTTAATCAAGTTCCTACTTAGACTTGAATTAGAGTTATACAATGATATTATTACTTGAGTATCCTAGTTAGACTAGGATTATAATTATAAGGGCATTGAACTCTATATAAACTAGAAATTGGGACGGAGGGAACTCATCACTTATTTTGGAATGGATGAAAAGGGAAAGTTTGAGTGTAGTTAGGGACGGAGGGATTATTAAATTTACTACGGAGTAATATTTAGAAGCCCATGCCACGTAGTTGTGGTCTTGATTTTTAATTGTAGAATCAAGCATTATTGATTCATGACGCTTTTACATATCTCTTTAGGCACACCACATACCATTCCTCAGTGAATGTTTTACAACTGGTCAACTGTGACTATATTTGTTTGACAAGAACACGTCTCCTTCAAAACTGTCAAAGTTTGAATATGAACTTGTGGTCAGCAATTCTCTCCCTTAATTGTCATTACACCTCAATGTAATCTTCCTTCATGACATTTGATCTTAAATTTCTGACAACATTTTATGGAGTTGTGAGTATGATGATGTTTGCTGTTCTTACAAAATTGAATGAGAGAGTATTATGGTAAGAATAAATGTTGAAGTTATTTGTATTTGTTGTTTGTGTTTGTTTTACAGTATCCTCAATTTAACAAAAAAGGCATGTTTTTGACAATAGTGTCTCTTGATTTAAACAAAATAGGCATGTTTTTGTTAGGAGCGCTTTGCTCATATTTTATTTCATCTATTTTTTATCATATTTTGATTTCAGTGCTTATTTTCATTTACTAAAACATGCGTGCAGAACATTCCAAATTATCTTCATCAGGAATTCCTGCTTTCAACATACATGAGTACCTGAGAAGGACAATCCGGACAAACAGTCAACTTATTGACCATGGATCTGAGCAATTCCAAAAGAAAGCAGATTGCAGCTTAATGAACAAGAGTCCCACAGGAAAAGAACAGCAAGACCCGGAGTTGGATTCCTATAGTGCTCTAAAAGACAGTGCTACTTCTAGCCTGAAGGCTTCTCCTAGGCATGACCTTGCCATGATCTATACGTGTAAGGTATGTGAAACAAGGTCTGCGAAGACTGTGTGCCGTGAATCTTATGAGAAAGGTGTGGTTGTGGTGCGTTGTGGTGGGTGCAACAACCTTCACCTAATTGCAGACCGGCTGGGGTGGTTTGGACAGCCGGGGAGCATAGAGGACCTCCTTGCTGCTCGTGGAGAGGAAGTGAAGAAGGGTTCAGTCGATTCCTTAAGTCTAACCCTTGAAGATTTGGCTGGAAAGAAACTTTGAATAGACCAAACAGGAAGAAACATTGAGGTGAAAATAGATGTTTTGGAATGCTGGAGTTTAATTTTCATATCAGTGGATTTTTTTTTAAATTTGGATAAGTTGGATTATTAGACTTAAAAGTTTAAACTATATAAATTCCTAAGTAGTCATCCCTATTTGAATTTGGGTGGTTCAGTTACTGGTTAGAAATTATGAAATTATTATGACTAAATAATACTCCCTTTGTTGATAGATTTAAAAAATATTCATGCGCCAACTTGTTTAATTTGTGGAACTTCACGTGTCCGTTTATAATTCACCCCGGGTATATTTTTTAAAGTTCTTCACCAATTATCAATTATATTGATTTGAAAACAGCTCCGATCAAACATTTTAAACTAAGGATGAGCCTTTTTCGAGGATCTAAAGATGAACATTATTTCCGAATGAAAGGAGAAAATAGATACAAATTAAAATTTTTATTTACATTATTTACATTAAACTATAAAAAATGTTTACTTTCAAATTTATTAAAATCAAATTACTAGTTTTTTTAATAGTATTCTCATACTAGAAAATATAAAACTAATGGTCTATATTTAATGAGCTTTTATGTCTAAATGGACCAATTTGAAAACATACTCAATCCGCAAAGGCCATTAAGGAAAATTCTCTAAATCTCGATGATTGTAATTACCAAAGTACCCAATCCGCGAAGGCCATTAAGCATTATTCTCATTTTTTTAGTGCCACCTCAATATAAGTAGTTTATTTTCAATAGAAATTTGGAAAACACATACTCACAAATTACCATTTTGGAATTCTCTCTTTAAGGCCAAATCAAAAAAGTGCTCTTAAACTATTCTTAGTCTAAAACTAATTTATATTGATAACGAGGCTATTAAACTATAATTAATTTAAGGTTTATTGATAACAAGACTCTTAAACTATAATTAGTTTAAGGCAGATTACAAAATCATGATCTATCATGTGAGTTTTATAGGTCACACTCAAAAACTGAACATCAGTCTGCTAGGTAGTATTCCAAACGAGTAATCCTCTAGTTTGGTTTGTAGATCCTGTATACGTTTTAACTCGAGCCATCAGATATCATATTTGCAAGGCCTAACTAAATTGATCACATGAAGTCTATCTTAGAGTTTTTCCATCTTACATATTTTCCTCTATTTTGTTTGCGGTGGCGTGCGGCAAGACACCGGAAGACTCGCCGACTGGAGGAGGTGGCCGGCGGGCGGCGGCGTGGCAGGGGAGGCAGTAACTAAGAGCTGTAAGGCACTTTAAATAATTAGATTTATACTAATTATAATATTATATGATTTATATCCCTTAGATAATTAAAATTATACTTTGGAAATTTTTTCACCTTTGATACTATGGAGTTTTATGCACCTTAGGTACTTTGGTTTAATTTGTGGGCAGTGGCAGCGTGCAGTGATTTTTTTTTTGCATCCTAGATATTTTGGAGGTAGTAAGGCATTTTGGAGTTTTTTTGCACTTTGTTTTGATTTCTTTTTACAAATTATGATTTTTGCACCTTAATATTTTCAAGCAAGGGAACATAGAAATATGATATTGTAATGTTTGTGTTTTATTATGTAATATGACTTTGGTGTTTTGTATGAGTTAATATTAATTACATTTAGTGTTCTTGATTTTGTATCTGTTAAAATTTTTATAAACCCACTAAACATATTTTCTGGGTCCGCCCCTGCAATAACTTATAATGATCACAAAAGGTCTTGGGTGGATCTACATTTGGACCAAAATTTATATATTTCCGATGCCCTATTCAAGTGTAGAATCCTACAAAGACAACTAAAGGTAGGAGAATGGGTGTGGCTTTAGCTCCAGCCCTAACCATGCTGCCAAGGAAAAATTAGAAATTAGCTCTTAATTTTCATGGACCATTTCAAATAGTACTAGCTAAAGTGGGGAAGGTCGCGTACAAGTTAGAGTTACCACCAGATGCACAAGCCCATCACACATATTATGTGTCACAGCTTAAACTTTTCAAGGGGATTCTTTCTAAACAACCACATATTCCCATCTGGCTGCAATGAAGAAATGTGGAGAAAACAATCAAACCCATTGCCATATAGAAAAGGAGATTGGTCAAGCAAGGTGCTAGAGCTGGTGTCCAATATTTGGTGCAATGGGAAAGGCAAGGGATAAAAGATGCTTCATGGAAGGATGCTAAAGAGATTGAGCAGAAATTTCTAGAATTTTTTTTCTTATGTAGAGCTATATATTTCGTATGCGGAAAGCTTTGTCTTTAAGGGGCAAAGAATGATCAATACAATCCCTTCTCTCTTTAAATCTGTCTTGTTACTTCATCTTCAACCTTCTAATGAGTTCCAAAACCATCGTCAAAGGTCTCATCTAGCTCGTTTAGAGAACCTTCCTGCATTGTGTTGTCAGAACATAAGATTGAAAAAATAGAATCAAGGAGTGCACAAAGAAGATACCTGGACGGTGGACGAAACACACCTGCACAAAATCAGAATCTAAAAAAACATACTTGGATAAAATTGAAATCTAAATATTAAAAAAAACATACTGGGTGGTATCGAATTAAACAGAACCATATGAGAAAAAGGGAGAAGATTAATGAACCAAAGAAAGTAAGCGAACAAACGTGGCTGATGGTGATTGAGATGGAGAAGATGATGAGTGAGTAAAGAAAGTGGAAGGCAATGAATTAAAGGATGGGAGAAAATGATGCATGAAAAGCAGTGGAAGAGAAAGTTGGTGGATATATGGTGGGAGTGAATTAACATAAGTTTGAGATAAGGAGGGCATGAGTGTTTCATTTGAGGGGTAATTTAGGGATTCTACCTGTAAAAACTTTTTATAATAAAAGCACGTGTAAATTATTTTAAAATTAATGGAATTTAAATTAAACAGGAGGGAGTATAATATTTATTCATATAAACTTCTTAAAGATAGGAAATATGCTAGGGGTACACCAAAAGTGTACCCCATATGTCCCTCCTTGTCCACTAAAAAAGGCAAAAAGATTTAAAAAAAAATAAGTAAATAAAAATGTGTGGTGGAGAAGTGGTGGTGTACATTTGGGGTACACCAAAAAGGTGTACCCCTAGCATTGCTCTTATACAAAACCGTAAATAAAATTAAGAGAAATAATAACAAAATTGTTAAATATGACAGATATATTTGTCATTCTATTTAGAATATCTTGTTTCCTTATTGACTTAGACTATACCTCCTCCCGTGTATGTATAAATACCTGCGTATATGATGAATGAAGTACCCAATTTCTCCAAAAACCCTAATTTTTTCGGCCTCTTCCTTTCTCCTTCATTTTTTTTCTTCAACCGCCGTTTGCTGTTCCAATCCAGGATGTAAATCAGCCCCCACTACTCCCGTCTGTAGTTTTTTTTACCCTGCCCAGTTCCCCAGTTCCCACACGCTTTATCAGCGGCAAAAGAACTTCCTTCCCAACGATGATGCACAGATAAAGATGATGCGGCATCTTCCGCTGAATTCGATTAGATTCAGCGCTGATCTGTAATCGGACTTGTCAACTGCCATTTGGTTTGATTTTTAACGTCATCCAGGTTCTATATTTTCATTTTTTTCTACCTCTCCTCTCAATATGAAATCTAAAAAAAAAACTTGCATTTTGTAAATGTTAGTTGATACCTGATTTGTATTCTATGTTGTTTAGTTGATCTTTTATGTTCATTGCCTGCATAACTGAAATCCTTACTCATAGTAAATTAAGAATATTTTTTTTTCTTTTCTTTTCATAAGCTACGAACATTTAATCTAAATAGGACATTTAAATGCTCTGTCTTGCTTTTACATATCCTTTTTGGCATTTCAGTTTTCTTACTGGAAATGTTAGCTTACGACATGTTCCCTATTTCAACACAAAATTATCATTATAGTTTTGAAACAATATCATGTTGTACAAATTTGTATATACTTCGTATGAAATATCATTCCTTATGATGGCGGCCTGGAGTATATCTTTGGGTCGCTAGAATTGTGAAATAATTTGTCGTTCGTTATTAGAACTGTTATCAAATTAGACCATTCTCCTATGGTTCGGTTTATAGTCAGGGGAGGAGTCATGCACTAAGTGTTCACCATAATCTGTATGAAATTTTGCTTCTATAGAGTATTTTGAATGTTTGATATCTTTATGGCACCAACTTTCTTGTTTAACTGCTATGGAGTCGGGAGTTCTATGCGGTTGAATTATCACCCAATATCATGATGATGTGTTAATGTTGGAATACTTTTTTTTTAAAAATCCTAAAATAGCAATATTGCTTCATATCAAAGTTAATTTATGACAAACTTTTAAACTGTACTTATCGAGTATATAGGACATATACTGATCTAGACATAGTTTTTTTTGTTTGAGATTATAAATAATGTTTGAGTTTTTAATTTCCCTTTTGACGTGGGAGTATAGAAACTTAAAGATTCCATACACTACATATTTGATTATATTTTTGTACTTTGGTATGAAAGATTTGTGAAAAAAATGCATATTTTATTACTTGATCCCAAATGTGATAAATGCTTTTGTTGATTTGTATATAAGAAATACAGAGTATATGACATATAAAAGAGAACTTCAATCGAAGCGTCAATTTTTATTCTCAAAGTAAATCAAATTTGATATATATTCCAAAGTTCATGATCTCTCAAAGAGAATAACAAAATCGATTTTTTTTAGTCATGCATTATTTACCATTTTCCAGAAGTAAAATGGCCTAATGATTTTTTTTAAAATAAATTGTTCAATGCATTTTATCCTCATGCAATGATATTATATTTTAATGTGATATACTAAGTTGCATTAAAATTTATGTGACCAATATATGTAATTGCATGTTATATGTGGTTTGAGATTACAAAATAGTATTTGAGAATATAATTTCCTCTAAAGTGGTAGTGTAAAAAAGGATTCATATACTATACTCGTATTTAATTACATTTTTTTCCATTATTTGGAAAGATTTTTTTTTTTGACAAAAAAAAATCATGTTACATATTCATTCCCTGAAGCGAGCGAAAAAAAAATTGATTGACCTGCATGAATATAACAGGCTATCACAACTATTGTGGTTATACATATGGACACATCAAAGTCACTATTATGGTCACATAGAATTACATTTTTTTAACATTGACTATTTGAATCTAAATATTCCTGAAGAATATTGAATTCTGAAAAAGAAATCCTTAAGATGTACAAATGTACAATGTCCTAAATTAAATAAAAGTCATCATGTTCATCAAACACAATATATGGGTATATGAGGTATTACTTAAGGTCTTATAATATTTAATTACCACCTGAAGTGGCTTATTTTTACAAACAAAAATCTCATTATAAAGACATGTTTTGATATTTCAAGACCTTAGTTCTAATCTATATATTATTCCTCATTAATATTCCTGAAGAATGATGTAGTAAATATATTATAATCAAAAGAGTGATTATACATATTATATATTTTTAGATGTAAGAGATTCTTTTCTCTTTAAAGCGTAAATATAATTTTTCTTGTTATACAAAAGTTATAGATAGCTCTAGAAGAGCATTGCATAATAAGAGCTGCATAATAGAATTAATAAGTCTCATAAATATTGAATATTTTGAGAGAATAGTTATTATCGTGCCTTGACGAATATTCTGTTGGGTATAGACAAATCCTTATTGTTTAGGGTGTCTTTATTAATGTTTAAGATACCAGTGGAAATGAATATTATATGACACTTGATCGAGATTTGTTTTTCACGTAAACCAGAAGTTTACTGAACTAATTTTATTTTAAACATAACCAATTAGATTATCACGATTTAGTTTGTGATGTGAAGAAAAAAATCATTAAGAACTCAAGTGAGTACTATTTGAAGGACAAGAAGTTTCTGTTATTATTAGGACCAGAAGATCCTATCGTCTTGTTCTCATTAGAAGATTATTATGAGATTATTACTAATGAAACTTGAGATTCATTTCATACATATTTAGAAATTGTTCAAGGAGAATTGATTGTGTTCATCACCTATTCGTGATGGCAATTTAAATGTTTTATATGATGCATTGTTATATTTGTCATATTTGTTGACAATTAACTCGTAACCCGAAGTTTATGATATTTGTCTTATGGACATAATTTATAGGTTATGTTGAACATCATTAGTCACATAAGAGCCTGCAGCTCTAGTTAATATGCAAAGTGCATCGAATTAGTGTTATACTTTTGATTATGAGAACAAATCATTTTATACTGGTTTTTGAATCTTTATTTATGTGGTAATTATTTGGAGCAGATGCTTAATGAGCTTAAATTAAGATAAATTATCAAGATACCACAATGGTAGGTAGACACTGAGGGAAGGTTTTTGAAAGAGTTGAATGGAAGATAAATTTCCTGACATATGCTAGATTATATATATTCTTCAATTAAAGAAGATGTGAACCTGAAGTTCAAGAAAAAAGATTGTACTAAGATATTGCAAATAAAGTGCTCATTATGAATTTTATGTGTCAATTGTAAAAACTTTGGTTAGAAGTGAATTCTTGATATTTTCTCAACCATAAAAAAATGGTCTTATTATAAGGAACATGTAGTTCCAACATATGAGAAGCATGTATTTTATATACACGTGTTCATTTTTTATTAATCCTTCCCTATAAATAAAATGTCAAATCTTCAAAATTTTGAGTTTCTTAAACTTGATATCTCCTGAAGAGAAACAAGTTTGCCCCTTCTCACAATATTTGATTGTTTGATTGTGTGCCTTATATCCCTCTCCCCCACAATGCATTCAAAATAATGTAGAAGACTGTGTATTGACATTGGCTATAACTACTCGTCTATTGTTAAATGTTTAGAGTTTTTGAAAGGAGATATATTAACATCAAAGCAAGTTTATTGTCGATTTTATGGTGAAATATTCCTAGTCTTAGGGGGAGACAAGAATAATGAAAGACTGGTAATACTAGAAATTATATAAAATGCATCATCATTGTAAGTTTTGACACCTGAAGTGGTCAATGTAATTTTGAAGTCTGATTTGCAAAGAAGAGCAAATGAATTACTAGATGCATTCTCATATACGAGCAGAGTGACAAAGTTCCATATACCAGCATCTTATGCATCGCTCGATTTAAGGTAGTTCCAAAAGTGACTATTGTACAATGAGAGTGGGAGAATAATCGGTTCCAAAGATAAGGACCCACGAAAATGAAAATAGCAGAAAAATGCTATTAGTGAAACCACATACACGATTAGAACTGCAACCCCAAAAGAGGACTATGTCCCAAAAGAGACTACTACTATTCTAGAAGAAAATGAAACCCCAGAAGAGGTAAATGTCCTAGAAGAGACCAATATGATTCCAGAAGAATAAGTTTTCTAAAGAAACATCGGTACCGAAAGAAAATGAGATCTCTATTAATTATGTACGAGACTGTACAATATGGAACCGAAATGAAACACGTGTTAATGATATTCTTGCATATGCTATGACAATGGATGTAATCAATAAAAGAGATTACATATCTAAAATTCAAAGAAGACTACATGTACAAAGTACATAAATGATTTGCCAAATGGTAAAAGACCCTCAAGGTTGAATTTAAGTCACTTGATAAATGAAATATTTTTGGACCTGAAGTCTGAACACCCATAGACGTCAAACCAATATGTTATAAATGGGTGTTTGTAATAAACAGAAATAAAATGAATGAGATTGTGCGATATGTAGTACTACTTGTAAGGCAAGGGTTTTCCCTAATCTCTGCCGTTGATTATGAGGAAATGTATTCTTCACTAGTGGATGCAATATCCTTTTTAGAATTTAATTGGCCTCGCAATCTCAAAAGGACTTCAAATAAATGATATGGATGTCGTTATAACATAATTATAAGGGACACTTGAAATCGACATTCGTGTGATAATAATCCCTGAAGGATTCAAGATGCCAGAAGCAATAAAATTAATACATCGAGATATGCGTGATGAAATCGTGGTATGGTCTCAAGTAATCTGGTCATATGTGGTACAATTGACTCAGTGAATATCTCGAAAAAGAAGTATACAAATTTGAAATCAACTTATGTGTTGTCATTCAAGGATCGCTCTCAATATTCATTATAATAGCAGTTTACGTCGACGTATAAATTATCATTAGATCTCCTGAAGAGATAGAAAAAAATCTGTTGAACTCTTGAAGAGAGAATTTGAGACGGAAGATCTTGACATGATATAAATTATACTTAGGATTGTATTTTAAACACCTATATGATGGGACATTTGTCCATAAGTTAAATTACATGCAGAAGATGTTAACACGTTGAAATATGGATAAAGCTCATCCTTTGAACATACCCATAGTTGTTCATTCATATATATACATAACATTCTAATCGCCTCCCAGAAGAGGGCGAAGAAGTACTTGGTAGGTCCTGCAGTACCAAATTTTAAGTGTGAAATTAGACAGGTAATGTGTTCACATATGGTGATACGACTTTTTCTTGGAAGTCGACTGAGCGAGCACGAACAACATGGAATCAAGCCGAACTAATAGCATTATACAACAGTGATCGAGAGCGAGCATGGTAGAGATTGATTATCAATCTAATACAAGTAGCATGCAGTCTGAGAGAAATCAAGAAGAATGCTACGATTATATATAAAGATAACACAACATGCATAGCTCAAATCAAGGAAGGCTACATCAAAGGAGACAGAACGAAGCAAATCTCATCAAAGTTTTTCTCAACATCTAATCTGCAGAAAGAAGGAGAGATCAATGTTCTTCAAGTTAAATCAAGCAAAATTTGGTAGACTTATTCACCAAATCTCTACCTAGGCACAATTTTGAGCAACTCAGAAAGAAGATTGGACTTCGTGGGCTAAAAGAGATAAATTAGTTTGAGTGGGAGTATATTTTTATTTTGAGGGAAAATATTATACACGCTGTACTTTTTTTTCCTTAACTAAGTTTTGTCCCACTGGATTTTCTTAGTAAGGTTTTTAATGAGGCAGCATAACTGATCTTGCAGTATCAGTTAATATAGGTCCTGAAGAACCTAGCCAACATTATCCCATAGCATAATGTTCTTAGTGTATAATGAACGATGATATATCTGAGGGGAGTGTTAAAATATGACAGATATATTTCTCATTCTATTTAGAATATCTTGTTTCCTTATTGA